ACGAAAAAATTTGCCTGGTTAAAGGAAGGTCTATACTAAGTAGTTCCAGCGTTGACCGCTCGATAGCGCCGCTTACCCGCGCTAGAAAAAATCAGCCCGGGAACTTTCCGGACAAACTGTGTATATAGACAATATAATGATTGCCACTATCGGTAGAAGCGAATCTTTGAATACTTTGTGAGGTCTTGATTATCCTGAAACAGTATGATTTTGAGCTAAATCTGAGCAAATGCAAGTTCCTACAAAAAGAAATAGAATATTTAGGATACAAAGTATTAGCGAATAAAATAACAATAAGTCTGCGTCATACCGCTGCGATTAAAAACTTTCCGCAATCGCGCAACCTCAGACAAGTCCAGCAGTTCTTAGGTTTAACAAATTATTTCCGCAAATTCATTTGGGATTACTCAACCAAAACTAAACTTCTTCGGAATTTACTGCGTAAAGCGGTAGAATTTAATTTTGATGCTGAGTGTGTAAAAGCGTTCGAAGAGCTGAAAAAAGAGTTAACATCACAACCGATTCTATGTCTGTACAATCCAGCGGCCGAAACACACTTACATACAGACGCGAGTTTAAACAGGCTAGGCGCTATTCTTTTTCAGAAGCAATCATCTGGACAATTTGCACCGATAGCGTATTTTAGCCAGCCCACGAATAAAGCGGAAGCGCGTTACCATAGCTTCGAGCTGGAAATGCTCGCGATTGTTAGAGCTGTTGAACGTTTTCATTTATTTGTATGGAATCGTTTTTACCATATTCACTGATTGCAATGCGTTAGTGCACGCGGTTAACAAAATTAATCTGAATCCACGAATTGCCAGATGGACGTTGCTTCTGCAAAATTATAAATTTGTAATTAAACACCGAACGGGAGATCAAATGGCACACGTTGACGCCCTTAGCTGACTTATTTCTTATGTAAATACACTACCTCTTGAGCATGAACTTGAGTTGAAACAAGTTCTCGATGTATAGCTCTTGGAGATAGCAAAGAGACTTGAGTTCGATGATGACAAAAAATTTGAGTTGATAGACGGTTTGGTCTACCGTAAACAAGCCGACCGTTCACGATTTGTTGTTCCGGAATCTTTAGTATCAAATGTGATCCGCATTTACCACGATGATATGGCTTACTGTGAGGTAAAAAAAAAACAATTCAAGGAATTTTATCCTCTTATTGGTTTCCCTCGCTGAGGAAAAAAGTATCAGACTACGTGAATAATTGTATAGTATGCTTACTTGCGAACACTTCATCACATGCGCAAGAAGGGGAAATGCAGATAACTTCTAATGTGTCAAAACCTTTTGACATTCTGCACGCCGATCATTTCGGCCCCCTGCAAACAACCGATGACGATTTCCGTTTTGTGTTCTTAGTAGTAGACGCGTTCACTCGTTTTACATGGCTATTTCCAACTAAAACCACCAATACGAAAGAAGTATTACTACATTTGAACGAATTATTTAATATATTTGGAAAACTACTTAAATTAGTAACTGACCGTGGTACTGCATTCACCTCTAAGGAGTTCGAGAGTTTCGTTAGTACACTCAAAATTAAGCACCGTCAAAACGCAGTCGCCTCCCTATGGGCTAACGGGTTGGTCAAATGGGTAAACCGGTTCTTGAAATCATCCCTTAAAAAGATTTTAGAGAACGCGTCAGAGTGGAAGTTACATCTTAACAAAGCGCAATACGTAATAAATAATACTCACCATAAAGCGATTAAAAACTCGCCAGCCAAGTTGTTCGGGTTTGACTGCCGTAATCACGATGACAAAACACTCGCCGATCTTGTTAAGCAGCTGGCACACTGATCTAATCTCCGAGCGAGACACTAATTGCGATATTGCCGTAGAAACTTCCGAAAAACTACGCACATATAACAAAGAGTATTATGACATGAAACACACAACACCGAGTAAATATTAGCCCCGCGAATACGTCTTGATTCGAGACACACACGTTAAGCCAGGACAGAATGCAAAATTTAAATCGACCTACAAAGGTCCTTACATCGTATCAAAAGCCCTAAACAATAATCGATACGTGATTACCGATATTCCGGGTTTCAATATCGCGCCGAAACCGTATAACGCGATTTTGTCACCGAATAAAATAAAGCCATGGATTAAGCCAGTGGCACAGTAAAAAAAAAGCTATATTATATTTGCAAGGTTCTATCATAGATAACGTTCGAGGGCGCACGTAACATCAGGATGGTCGAACTGTAGGAAAATTAATCAAAATTAATTCAATTAGTAGCGACTTCTTACAACCAAAAGGGTTAACTCATGCGATAGCTGTAAAAGTCGATAGTATTTATCGATTGTACTGACTCCTCGAGAGTCGAACAAGCGGCGCTGAAACGACCCAGCAGGTAACGCCGGTTAAGGCCATGCGGCAGAAGAGTGCCGTACCTCTTGCGTAAAAAAGGGAGAGTTTTTCCTGTGGCTCCTTCTGAACGGTGCGCGCTCATCTCGATCTGTAGAGTCTGTTTGATCGTTGATCGTGGTGACATTATTTTGTATGGTTCTAAATATTATTTGTCAGTGCGGTAAAGTAAATAGTGTTAGGTAATTCTAGTAGGTAAGTTCTAGTAATAGAACTTTTATCGTTTATGTCTTACATCTCCAGAACTATTACAGTTGCGTTATATTCCCGTTCCACCGTTCCTACATTCAACGGCTTCAGCCACTCTGACAAATAAAATCATTCAGATCCTACAGTATAGCCTTGTTTGTGCAGGCAATAACCGTTACCTTATATCAAAACCAATAAATTATACGATTTTAGTGTTTTTGTTTACAAATTGCCGAATGTGTATAATAATAAGTTAACGGTTATTGCTCGCATAAACAAAGTCTCAATGCTAAAGCTAATACACTTCTAGACAAGAGAGAAAGACAAGCAGAAGGAAAGAATAGATTGTGCTGCCGGAGAATCACCAAATTAAAAGTAGCGACATCTGTCGGTCCTCCTGCAATGCTTACCTCAGCACGCCATGATATCATTTTGTTAGCATACAACGCGTGTCACCACTGAACAGCACTGTACCAACATATTGTTCACATGGCATGCTTTTCACGACGTGCCGACACGTGATGTTTGCTGGGTATACTATTATATATAGCCACAAATAAATACAATTATTAACATACAAAGATGTTTTTTCGGGTTAGAACCGCGTTAGTGTCATTTTTATACCGACGTTTCGTGAACATTACAGCTCACTTCATCAGGGTTTAAAGAGCAGCCTGATACTGTATTAGGCTGTAATGTTCACGAAACGTCGGTATAAAAATGACACAATGGTTCAAATCCGAAAAAACATCTTTGTATGTTAATACTACACACCGCGAAAGCATCAAATATCAAATACAATTATAATAGGTTATTATTATATTATATTATATCTATTATATATGTATATTATATTATATATATTATATATATTATATTATATCTATTATATATAGTATATTATATCTATATATGCGGTTTTTCGTCTTCGTTGA